CAGGGAAGAATATCTTGTGTTTTGTCCAAGAACTCCTAGGTAAGCATATATTGGAAATTCTTTTTAATTTGTTTACTTGAATTGAAACTTCTTGAGGGATGATGCCAAATCCATGGAATTGCATCAAATCTTATTTTTTGAAAAGGGAGGAAATAAGATGGATTATGAAGTTATATAAGACATCAGTGATTGCACTTAGCCTAAAACGCAGTGCTGTTTCCCCCAGTATATGCTCTTTAGAACTGCAAGTTATATTTCTAAAACTTTTGTCTTATGACATGTAGATTATCATTTCCAGAAGAAAACAATGGCAGCCTGAAGAAAATTCCCAAGCTTGCAGATCCTGCTCAATATTCAAGATTAGGACTTGTGGTATGCTTTTTATTTGGTTAATTGAACTCATGTTCGTAATCCTGTGCTAACAGAATATGCCTGCTTTTCTTTTGAGCTGTTACTCTAATCATTCTCCATTTGAAAAACGCAGCCAAGAAGAGCTGATTTGGACATGAACCAACATGTAAACAATGTGACTTACATTGGATGGGTCCTTGAAGTATGTGCTTCTTATCTAATGCAACTATGTCTATGCATAATGTTATATTTACAGTACACACTCTAGGGTACCAGCAATTTTTATTCAGTTTTCTCCACTTTGTTAATGTTATTTTCTGAATTTTTTCATCAGCTGATCCTATATTTATCCTTTTACAGAGCATGCCTCAAGAAATTATTGACACCCATGAGCTGCAGACAATCACTCTAGATTATAGGCGAGAATGCCAACATGACGATGCAGTGGATTCACTTACCAGTTCAGAATTTGCGGAAAATGGTAGCACAAATGGGATTGCCACCACAAAGCCACATGATCAGGAGCTCCAGCAGTTCTTGCATTTCTTGAAATCGTCTGGCACCGGTCTTGAAATAAATCGAGGCCGGACAGAGTGGAGGAAACTGATTCGTTAAGGTTTTGGTTCATGTACACCAGTTTTTGCTAGCAGATAAGAGAACTGGTTGGTTAAGTTATTTTAATTATGTTGCATGTTTACCTGGTAAATTTCATCATTGATATTGCGTTAGCTTTGGACATACTTATTATTGCTCTACCGAGAGGACATTGGACTGTCAAGCAAGCGATCTTGATTCCTTTTCTTAATGAGCCATGTAAGATTTGGGTGTAGCAACCAATGTATGCTTGGAGACCAATAAATTATTCAGTTTGTTAAGACTGAGGGAATTTGTATCCAGAATCTAATTTTTTGGGCTGAGAACTTTTGTATTTGGTAGTTCCAGTTGGATCTGTAGGCTACAACAGAAAGGTAATGGATTATGGTATGCGAAATTAATTTAGTTTATGAAGAAACTGCAAACTGTTCTTGCTCTTTGACAGATAGAATGAATCTTTGAAGATGAGGGTTCGACAAGTTTACTGATAAATAGGTTGTGTGGTCACATCTCTCTCCTTCTGTTTTCTTCCCTTATGGTGGATGCATTTAGGAGGTTCAAATTTCACAGCAACTTTGGCTTCTGCTTTCTGTAAGCTTGCTAACTACTATCAAAGAATCTTTGCCTGTGTGAAGTTTGATTTGAGCTGACATTATCTTGAGCAATTCAATTGTTTGATTTGTGTTTTTAGCTAATTAAAGGATTTGAGCCTTCTGAGCTTGCCTTTCAATGTGCATTTTTCACAAGATTTTTCCCTTTTTTTTTTTTTGGAAAAACAAGTGGTAAAGATTGAGATTAAAGGCATCAAAATTTTACTAGATCAGATTATGAATCCTCTACTTTTTGAATCTAACACTACTCATTGAACATAAATTATTAGAATCTCTAGTCCCCATCAAAATAATGTGTGAGAGGTAATTACATTATGTATCAATTTCCAAGGAAGATCCTTGTCACTGTCCCAAGGTAATTCCTACAGAACACTTGGTGGAACTTCTCAATGGGGATATTCCTGAAGGTAATGCCTACCAAATTATAACAGTCCTATAAAGTATACATATCCAATTCCAGTTCCCCAGGATGATCCTTTGGTGGAACTTCTTACTGATATATGACGGTACTGAATTTTTGCAAGCAACCAAAAGGACTGCTTCTGAGATCAGAACTGACAACTTGACATTCTTACCAAGTCCAGTCATTTAAAGATCAGATGGCAGATTAGAAGTACAAGAGACATAACTTCTCTTATCATGTGTCCCCCAAAGTCTGGGTGATTCACCAATAATTTCTTGTAAGATCTTCATATTTAAATTACTGTTGGATACACACCAGATTTCTATTAATTTCATGATTATTTTCCATGATTAAACTAAATGAGTAAAAAATTGTCATAATGATCCTTCAGATAGGGCCCCCAAAATTTGGGTGATTCACTAAAAATACAAAAATCACCAAGATTTCCTGGGATGTTCTTCTTAGGCAATACAAGATTTCTTAATTCATCCATCCTGAATAAGAAGAAATGGGAATCTGAATTGTTACTCTAGCAAATTATGTTTACTGCCAGTTCACTATATTCACTAGTGTCATTCCAAGCAAAAAATTAAATAATATTTGACCTTAAAAAATGGGTATAAAATCTATATCTATGTAGACTTCATCTTCTTAGCAAGCACTACAAAGAGCACATCATCCTTGTAATGAGATGGATATTTTTTACGTAGTTCCTGAACACATATTTCATCACATTGTTCCTGAACTACATTGAAAAACATTCTTGGACCTGGAAGAATCACTGGTAAAATCATGAAGAACATAAAGGACCTAATCGGTGTCGTGTCAATCGGAAAATGGAAGATAAACACGATGAAAATTGTTCTTAGTGAGTTTCCTTCTACAGGTTGGGCATTTCTTCTGTGCCTGAATGGAGGCCTTTATGCACTTTAGACAGAAAATATGGCCACAGATGGTTGATGCTGCCTCCACCAATGCATCCATGCAGACAGGGCAGGTGAAGGCAGGTTCCTTCCTAATTACCTCCGCAGGCTCTAGTTTAGACTTCATCATATTCTTCCTCTGCAATTTACAAGTCGAAATCGAGTTTAAAATTTAACGAGAATGGTAGCAGAAGTGTGTACTAGAAAACAAAAGAATAAGACAGTAGAGGGAGCAATAAGATTTTCATGGTTGTGAAGATGGACAACTTAAAAAGTAATGATTAAACAGCCAATGTATCTGATAGGCAACTGAATCCAAAAAAAAAAGAGTTTCAGTATACTGATCTAGTAGTCCAATTCCTATTCATATTCAGTATACTGATCATAGTAGTTAAATTCCTATTCATACTTGTGATTACCTGAAAAGGTGAAAAGAGTCCAATCTACTTGTCATAGAAATATTAAAATGAAGACGATGCTCTTGCATCAAATCCACATATTAAATTGTTTACCTCACAAGACATGACAAAGATCCTGAAGTCAAACAATTCTATTTGACCATCTTCCCACAGGGAAGATCTAGAAAGCAGCAGTGCTTTGCAAATGATCCAAAGGAAAACAGTAGCCGGACAAAGCATCTTGCAAAAATCTACATTTATAAAGTTCTATACTTGAGAAGACAGATGGGACTGCACTTGCAGATTCAACTCCAGCCCACATACTAACCCCTCAACAAGATGACAGACATTGACCAAATCTAGGTACGAGGAAAGTCCATATAGTGAGCAGACTTGACAACAAATGCACTTGCCAGAAAGAATATTGGAACAGTTACAAATGATAAAGAAACAATAACTATAAGCAAATAGTTAAAAAACCAACAGTCCTATTACGCTTCGAGTTTGCCAGCTCTGAGATAGTTTGATATGTATCTAATTTTAGTTTGAATGCAATTATTTCTTTATGTTCATATAGTTAGTTAATCAAAAGATAGAATTGCCATTCAACACAGCCATTTAGAGGTTGAGTTGGAAGAGCTATGACGGCAGTTCACCAACCAATCTTGTGGCTGTATGATTAAAGCACCAACTCTTATTTGGCAAATTCATAGGTTGTGGCCATTTGTTCATTCTTTCTCTGGTTCTCAGAATCCAAGTAAATGAGGAAGAGAAAGCAAATGTGACACCTGCTAAGCTGAAGTGCTAAGCACAGCAATACATATCACTAAACCAGATACAATAAATCTAATGATCCATAGCCATTTTAACAACCAAAAAAAAAAAGCTGAGTTTGAAAATAATGACTACTGGTAGATCAACAACTCAAAACTGTTTTAGATAGTTAAGCTCATTCATAAATACAGTTCAGCCAGTTGCTTTAGTAACCCTCCGAAAGATAATCAAGCACCCCCCTAGAATGTCATTTAGATAACACATGAAAACATAGAATCATTTACAATTCAAATAATATTATTTATAGCTAAACAGAAGATCAAACAAAGTAAAATACTGCATTACACAAAAAAAAAGACAACCAAACATATTTACCTTGGAATTGTAGTCCTCTTCCAAACCAAGATAAAGATCATAACTAGTAACTGCCGTGCTTGTCGAACTTTTATACCGTTTGTTGCTGGTGTTCAAAGATGATCTGACCACTTGTTCGCCTATCATAATGACTCAAAATGTCAGACTAACAAAGAAACAGAATGCACAATAGCACATTTCTTAACCACCATTTACCACCCTATTTGATTTTACTTGTAATAACAAATTAATATTAAATTCCAATCTAAATCATGTATCGATATTTCCTATAAACAACTCCACATCTTTTAATGTCACGTTGACTATGTTGCTAGAGCTCCAATTTCATAGTTTTCTTACCTTTCATAATTTCTTAGTTTTTAAATTTTTAATCTAGATCTTAAATCTTATCTTTTTCACTTTGAAATAACTTTCCAATTTCAAGAATAATCTGATCCAATCAAATTGGACCAACACAACCCAGATCTTGCAGCCAATGCCAGAATTGATGTCTATCTTATAAACCATAAATAACTAGGATCCCATTTTGAAAGGTCCTCATGGTTATAAATAGAGGTCGGTGCCATCATCACTACCAGTTCGCTTCATGCCAGTGCAGTGCAATGGACCATTGTTATCCGTCATAAAATACCTCATAACATCCATCCTCTCTACATAGGACAAGATGATCCCTGTCAAGACACCAAATCTAGAGAAAGAGAGAGAGAGAGAGAGAGAGAGAGAGAGAGAGAGAGAGAGAGAGGCAGCACAGAGAATAGGACGAAAGATTAAACATGCACAACAGCTCAAAAAAGGAACAAATTATTAAGGCTTCAGCTCCCTAGCATTTTATATACATGTAGCGGCTTTCATTATTTTCTCTAAACCATCAAACCAACTATGTCATTTAGCTCAGCTTGGCTTTTAAGACAAACAATTTAAAGAAAGTTATCTATATTATCAACTCATATTATATTTTAGCCCAAACTCCACCTATTATCATAAGTGAGTCCCTTGTTTGTCTTTGCCATCCATACCATTCTCATCTCTACCAGTTTACAAGAATGAGATTGAAAACATCTTACCATGGATACTAAAGGTTATTTTTATATTGAGCCATATGAATTAAGAGTACAAACCAAACCATAACATTTCAATTTGGTTTTGTATGGATTTCATTAAAAAAAAAATAGTGAGCTTATGTTTGAAAATTTTTCAAACATAAATTCTTAGTTGGAATGTGAATCTCTATAAATCAGACCAGATTAGATCATCCACAGCCTTATCCATGAATATGAACCAGGTTGAATTGGACTGTTCAGATCAATGAGTCGTCCAGGACCACAACTGTGATCCCAGTAAAATTGAACTAGGCTATGATGGATTAAGTTGGATCTCTACTTTATAGTTTTTCAATTTGTATATGTTATAATTCAAAGGACAACATCTAGTGTTAAGATATCCATGTAAGTCTATGGTTACATATCAGAACATATATCAAGAAGGAACCCTTGAAAGATGTGTGAGGCATAGGCGCACTTCTTTCTAAAAATTTTATGGTTGAATAAGCCAGACTCTTACTGATCAAACACCTCAGGATGGTAAGCAAAATAAGATGGCTTTGTCATATATCACTGGTCTCTTGACAAAGAAAACTACCATCCCTGTGCATAGAAAACACTTCAACTTCATTTATCCCATCCGTAGTTTATAACTTTATAGATAAGGTATATCAATCCTTGAGTGTAAATATCATTTTCTTTTAATTTTTTACACAACAAACATATATAGCATCTACTGCAATTGTCAAATGAAGCCAATGTACCCATTAATGAAGTT